GTATCAATCAGGTGATCGCTGCAATGTCCGCATTCACCTCTCTTCACTTCGTTCTGGCATAATCTGGAAATGGTCATGCGATGAACAATCTTCGATAAGTAAAAATGTAAACTAAAGAAAGTGAGAGAGGGGCTATTCTAAAAAAAAATGAAGAGAGAGGGGAAACCATGAGTTAGTCAGTAAAATCCCCAGCTATCAGGTTATTTTACTAAAGCTGATGATGGAGTGGAAGTTGTGAAACAGCAAGTGAACAGGTGTAGTGCCGAAATTTGCACCCTGCCAAATTATGCACCCCCTAGTATTGGTAGGTTTAGGAGTAGGTGTGGGGGAGGGGTTAGGATTAGGGGTGGGGTTGGGATTAGGCAATCAAGTAGCGACTTCAACGAGGGGGTGCATAATCTGGTAGGGGTGCAGAATTCGGCACAACACCGGGCACATGGAGCAGATAAAATCACAGCGTCGTCGTCCCCACAGATTTTAGGTTAGTTTGATTAACAAGTTAACAACTTGATGGATGTATATTGCTTTTTTGTGTTTGAACAAAGTATATTCACTTATGGGTTGAGAGAGAAACCGGTAGAAATATATCAATCGTTTTGCGTGGCATTAAGCTTTTCATTTAAACGCATTTTAAGCATTATGATTTAAAAACAACCATAGTTTTTCAAACAACCAAATGTCTACATAAAATAGCTGGATAAAAACTTTTATTATTACTATACACATAGGCTAACTTACATTGAATCTGTAGGAGTTTCTTAAGTTAACTGGTTAATATTTGTAAATGGGTCATTGAAAGACCACTAGATAGAACCATCCGATCATAGTTTGAACATTTTTCTTTATCTGAAGAATTGTAGGCTTAACAACCAAAACTCAATTAAAAGACAATATACTCACTCAGAATTCACACAATCTGGAAATAAGATGGAATCTAATTCTATGCTCTAAAATAACTTGTTAGGTCACACTTGTCGCCCAGCTCTCTTTTAAACTCTCTCTCTCTCTAGTTTAAATACATTCTCATTTGTTGGCAGCAACTTCCTATTTAGCCGTTCTGACCACAAAAAATTTAGATGTGGTTTAGAAGAGCTCATCTGTGGTACTGACATGTCACTAGTTTAGTAAAGTTATTATTAAGTTAAGTATGTGAAATACTTTGCCATTTCATTTTGTGTGAGAAATTAAATTAGAAAGTCTAAATCTACCTAGTTCAACATATCCCATCAGAAAAACTGAAAAAGTGTTCTGTATTTGTGATACTGAGACATTTTTCCCACTCTTTTAAAACTTGACTCTAGCAGACTTTTGGTCACACGGCATAGACTACTTCTCCAGTAGCTCTACTTCCGGTGCTGTGGTTGTGCCACATGGCCACACATCGCTGTTTTCTGTTTTGTAAAGCAAACTTGTGGCTTAGAGCAAATGGCAATAGGGGAAATGTTTATACTTAAAAACATTTTTAATGAAGGTTATGGAAATTTTTTTAAACATTAATGAGCATGAAATAAGTTAAAGTTTTATTTATTTATGTGGTTGAATGATTTGTGTTGGAGAAGATGAGTAAAAACAGCTGAATAACTTGACCTGCTAAAATACTTGAACCACTGTGACGTCATTTAAATGTCATCTAAACGATCAAAACAGTATTTCAGTTTGTATTATTTATTGTGCTCATAGTAATTAAACAGTATGCAATATTACTAATAATAATACTACATCCTAAACATAGGCTACAGCAGCTTCAAAATTAATGTTTGAGGAATGACTGTGTAATTATGTTGTTGAACAAAACATGAAAATGTCATACATCTTTTAAAGGATATACAGTGAAATACCGTTTTAGAAAGAGTTGGTGGTGTTTTACAATGCTGTTGTAGTGAGCTGCTTGGTTGTTGTTTTTATTTAGTAATATGAGAAATATGCTTTCTGAAGCTTCGAATCAATTGAACCAATCTTAAAATGACTCACTGTTGGAGTGAACTGAAACCCCGCACACGGAGGACATCTTCTGGTCAAAGGAACACTTCTGGAAGTCTACCGTGCTCCACAGGTATGCGAGTTGAGTACAGTTCCCAAACTCGGATTGAGAAATCTCCAAAACTATTGACTAAGCTTAAGTCAGTAGCATATTTCAAATGTTCAATAAAATCTGCCCAAATGAGTCACATTTTGCTTGATTAGCTAAAACAAGCTTAATTGATGATGCCATTTTGTCAGGACATCATTGTGGTGAATAATTTTTTTTTTCAGCACATTGTGTAATATCATTAAGGTATAGGCAATGCGATATAACGCGGTGCCATTCTGTCAGTTGTTTCTGTCACTGATATCTAATAGCCCTGTAAAAGAAGAATCATGTCACAAAACAAAAGGATTGAAGCCTTGTGTGAGATGAAGTGCTCTCATCAAAAACACTTTTGAATGAATTGTGAGCACTTATGAATGAACACTATATTGTTTCAGCTTTAATTTTACACCCAGTGGAAAGTTGAAGCCCAAAGGGAGTAGCACATTTACGAGAAAAGTGAAACGTAACCTAGGAATATGTAGGTGTTCCTGTTTCTGCTTGTCTAGGGTGTCCCAGGTGAGATGGTGCCTTATGCTTTATACCAGGAAGGACAACAAAGAAGGAAAGTCACACACCTATTATTGGGCTACTCTCTTGCACCAACGTATCAGCCAATAATCCGTATCGGCCAATAAATGCAATTATCTACTATCAGATTGTTTAAAAACAGCCGATGATCAGGGCTGATTATATCCTATCAATCAAAAGGGCACAAAAAAAAGTGTCAAACTGAAAATGTCTCAATATCCACCTCAAATGATAAGGTTGCACTATAAATAATCCTTAACTGTGTCAGAACAAATTCATCTTGATAATGTCAGATAACTTTGATATACAATCAACCAAAAATTCAGACAACTGTTAGTATGACAATATTTACACAACTATCAAGACGTTGTTGACCAATTACCAAGCAATGCTTAATTTTGTTCAGTCTGTGGTGTAAAAAGGTCGCATTAGCAATTAAAGAAAAAACACTTAAGCAAAACATGGTCAGGTCAAGAGCAGTGAGTGATTTTCTTTCTTTCATTTTTTTGGATTAACGTTAAGGACACCGACAGCAGCTAGTAAATTAGGCGAGGTCACTTTAAGAGACAATGCATCCATTATAATGATACACATCTGATTTCTTTCTCCACTGTTCACTTTCACTTTAGACATAACCGACAGTTTTTTCGAGGATACTCTCCAGGATGGATATTTTGACATAATTTTGTATGTATTTGTCGGTACAAGAGCAAGAAGAGGTAAATTCGGTGTTCAAGCGCTTTTGAGACGCGTCTCTCTGCGTGCACCCTGTGCGCACAGAAAACTGCGCGTATGTGCTGAATTGGGCTCTTTCGCATCTTTTTCTGTTTGCATGTTTAAACTGCGATTTGTATTTGTTCGTTCAGGTGCAGGAGGATGCGAAGGAGAGCTCGGTTCGGTGTTGCTGTCCATGAGACGCGGCTCTCTGCATGCGCACCAAACATGGCGCGCGAGTACTGAGTTGAGTTTTTCGCGTCTTGTGTTTAAATGCTTTAAACTCCTTTGAATGTTTAAATTGGCAAGGCTTACAAACACGTACAAATGATAAGCTTTCGTGACGAAGCGCAGCAGTGGCCCGTCAACTGTCCTGAGCATCTTTTTAGGCTGGCCTCAGCCAGTCAGTTGAGAACGCCGGGGGGCCCCCCTCAGCTGGCCCCGATAATCGTCACCACCTTTCATCCCATTAACGACGGCCCTGTGCATGGGCTTCATTTTCACTTTTTTCTTTTCTTTTTCTTTTCTCGGCGCCGGATTGCTGATGTCTTTTCACGGGCATAGTTGTCCATCAATTATGATCATTTGCATTCAGCCACAAACATGAGGTGCGAGCGGTCTCGGTGCCCTACGCAAACTGCGTACTCTGCGTGTAGGAAGCAGCGGTACTGGCTGGAGCCGATACTGGAGCGTGCACTCGGGCGCACTCTCGGGCGAGGAAGAGGGCCCTGAGTCAGTAATTTCTCCTCTTTCGATTACGGGTGAACTGGGCGGCCGGCGGGCTTGTCGTTGCAGTGACCGGAGTGCTTGACAATGGCGCGGCCTGCGGGCTTGACAACGACGGGGCAAAGCGTGCAGCGGTTTCCATGCCGCGCGAAGGGAAAACTCAGAAAACAAAAACACTTTCAAAAAAACGGAAACAAAAACGAGGAGAAGGGGCACCGCTTACTTTCTGTTCGGTCTTGTATTCTGTCACGGCTCGCCTACTGTGGCGGAAACGAGGAGGTGAAGGAGTGTGGATAAACATCAACAGTCTTTATTCTTTTAAACAATGAGGAACACAGGCAAGATCACACACGTAGACTGAGGGGTTGACGAACAATTCCCAATAGTATGTTCCTGCACAACCGGAGGCTGCAGTTTCAAGACCGCAGTTCTAGGACCCTATTCTTTTGTAACAGCGCCACCTACCGAATTGGATCACTAAAGATGGACGACATGGACAGCAATCAGAGGGAGTAACTTTAACGATTTTCAATTAAGTTTTATTTTATAACCTTAAAACGATGCAAAGTTTATGTAGCCAACGAGACAACTGCTAAGAAATAATAATGAATTCCCGATTGCTAGTTTTATTGATTATTACTTTGTTCTTAATTCGTGGCCATGTTTTCATTAAGCTAAACCTTGTTGACATAATGACTACAATAAGTAAATCTAGCCATCACATTAATTAAACTTAAAAAGATGATAAAAGTATGCTGATGTGAGATGTGTCAAGTTTACCTGTAGGTTACTGTATTAGTGTGAAAACTTGTTTGATACTCATTGTTTTAGCATATTAGTTAAGTATAAATCATCTTTCATAATTAAACTGGGCTCATTGCTTGGTTGCACCACAATATGTGTTATTAGCCTATACTTTTGGCAGTACTTTAGATTAATCTTGTTGATGCTTGAAAGGCATGGTCAGCGGTTTGCCTTCTGGACTGATGAGGCCAGACACTTGCTCCAAGGAGCTCTTCAGCCAGTGTACAGAGTGCTATCTCAGAGGAGATCCACATTCAGGCTGTCGATGACCACACTGCAGAGGTAAAGAGACTGCTGGACTTCATTGTGAAGTTACAGGGATCTGAGGAGCATTTAGTGGTACTTAAACAATGTTCACATTTAATCATTATTACAAACAAACTCATAGTAAAGGTTCACCAAGGGCCTTAATTATAGCATTAACAATATCTTTTAACTATGCTGCAAATTATTGTATCTTTATCTTCTGTATCTTGTATCTTTATCTTGATATGTATCAATTTCCTCAAAATAACAGATTTTGTACCATGGTTTGCCCATAGGGTGTACTCAACGGGAAGCCCTCTAAGTGGTCTCATAAGCTAACCTCTTCCTGAGTGCCTGTCTACCTCGACAGTGAGGAACAACTGTCCTGTTTGCCTGTCTGAGAGGAGTGCTGCATAGGACACCAACACAACTGAGCTTCACAGATGAAGTGCAGAGGTATGCCGGACCATGTAATGTGTTTGTGAGTGTCCTGCTCCTGCACTTACAAAATCTACTGTATAAACTGCATGCTGGTGCTACTCGTGTATGGACCAATGTATAATGGCTTGCTGTTCAGTAGTGCTATAATAGTATACTTAAATTAACTGTTTTTCATAGGCCATCATATATGCCCTGGCTTTCCTACGGAATTTCTCATTGCAGGAGGCTGAGCAGGTCTTCCTTTCTGGTCCGGATTATCATTACAGGTCAGAGTAGAATATGAATTATTTTTGCACAATGCCCAGTGCACCTTTTGTTACTGATATTTCTGTTAACCCAACTGTGATTGTTCTCTGATAACCTTTCTCTCTTTTTTTAATCTCTCTCAGGAGTTGAAGCCTACAGCCTTTCTGTCCATACAGCAACTGATGGAAAATGGGGTCTTTTTTATGATGTTGTATTATGTGTTCTTGCAAAAATGTGTATATACAGTATATAAATATGCATTCTTGAACTGTAATTTAGTGACCGCAAATGCTGATTTCATACTAAAACTTAAGGGGGCTAATCAATATACAGTATATTTCAAGAAATTAAGACTTAAGGTACTCCACTTTTTCAGTTGTTTAAAGACTGAAATACATTTTTCATTTATATTTTAAGTGTAAATTCATTTAAATTTAAAATTGTTAACTCAAAGCAGGTATTACACACTTTGCAATTAATATCTGATGCATTTATAAATCAAAAATCACAATTGAAATAAAAAAAAAATCAATATCTTTAACAACAAACTAAACCACCAGGGTCCTAGAAATGCGGTCCTGAAACTGCAGCCTCCGCTATATTATCCAATTCGGTAGGTGGCGCTGTTACAAAAGAATAGGGTTCTAGAAATGTGGTCCTAAAACTGCGGTCCTGAAACTGCCAGGAACACCCTTCTCACAATTCCGGACGCTAAACATGGAAACACACAGGGCTTAAATTAAGGCACTAATAAAGGAATTAACAAGGAAATTAATGGGACACAGCTGAAACTCATGGAACTCAAATGGCAACAGAAACTAGAAAACCAAAAAAGAACAGAATGATAAAAGGGGGGAAGAACACATGGGGAGGAAAACAACACAACGGGAACACAAGTCTGACACTTCTAATGATAATATTCAATAACATTTCTATACTGAGTTGAAGTACATGCTGTTGCTGTTAATGATACTCACAATGTTGTAGTAGAAATTTACTGTGCGAGGTTGTAATATTTAGTCAGAATTTGTGAAGCATAATCTACTGCTGCTGCACAAAACCTGCTGTAAGCCCTGTTGAATAAGCAAAGTAATAAATGCCTATTGCACTTTAAAGAGTTAATTTACCCTCCATGAGTTATCACTAAAATTTCATGCAACTAAAGCGCATTCTGCTGCCGCTGCTATATTAGCAGCAAAAATATGACTTGCTATGCATGCTGCTGCTGATATTATTTCTAACCTTGCATCTGAATTTGCTATGCTTGCTATAACATTTGCTAACATTGTGATCTGAGTAGCTATGCATACTGCTGCACAAAAGTACTTAGAATTGCTACTGCCCCTTTATTAAACAACCAATTAATGCTTATTTCGCTTTGAAGAGTTCTACCAAACCTGTTGCATTGAATAGCAAAGTAATATTTCACCTAAAATGTTCACTACCATCCAAGCGTTATCTTATCACTGAAATGTCATGCAACTAAATGTACTTTGTGCTGCCGCTGCTATATTAGCAACAATGATAATTGGATTGCCATGCAGACTGTTGCTAATATTTCTAACATTGCGTCTGAATTTTGCCATGCGTGCTGCTGCTATTAAAATTCACTATAGCGATCTGAATAGATATGTATAATGCTGCTACAGCTGCACAAAAGTATTTAGAATTGCTATAAGTCTCTTTATTAACAAGCAAATGCAATCAAATGATGCCTATTTCGCTTTGAAGAGTTACTTACCCCATGCGTTATCACTGAAATTTCAAGCAACTAAAATACTTTTTGCTGCCGCTGCTATATTAGCAACAATAATTTGACTTCCTGCTGCTATTATTTCTGAGGTTGCATATGAATTTGCTATGCATGCTTCTGCTATTAAATTAGCTACATACGATCTGAATAACTATGCATACTGCTGCACAAAAGGTACTTAGAATTGCTATAAGCCCCTTTTAAATAAACGAAACGCAAATGATGCCTATTCGCTTGAAGAGTTCACATACCATCCATTTTTAGTCACTGAAACTTCAGAAATTGTAAGTCGCTTTGGATAAAAGTGTCTGCAAAATGAATCTACGGTCTACCTACTGCTGCCATAACTAAACGCATAATTTGATTTGCTATGCAAACTGCTATTAATATTTCGCTAATAACGCAATCTGAAATTCTATGCATACTGCTGCTATACTCCATGAAAGTACTAGAATTGCTGTAGCCCATCCATGCATTATCATTGAAATTTCATGCAACTAAAGTACTTTCTGCTGCCCCTGCTATATTAGCAATAATAATTGGTTGCTATGCAGACTGCTGCTAATATTATTTCAAACATTGCATCCGAATTTGCTATGCCATTCTGCTACTATTAAATTAGCTAAATTCTGTAATCTGAATAGCTATGCATACTGCTGCTATCTGCATGAAAGTACTTAGAATTACTATAAGCGTCTTTATTAAACAATGAAAAGCAAACAAATAATGCCTATTTCACTTTGAAGAGTTCACAAAATCTTGTTTTGTTACTTACCCCATGTGTTATCACTGAAATTTCATGCAACCAGATAGTTTCTGCTGCCGCTGCTATAAACAACAGTAATAATTTGACTTGATTTGCTATGCATACTGCTATTAACAATTCGCTAATAATGTGATC